TAAATACACCATATATAGAAACGTACTTACTAATATAATTAGAAAAAGAAAAAAAGAATATTTTAATAATAAATTTGAAAAAAATAAAAATAATCTGAAAGAAACATGGAAGGCCATTAATCAACTTCTTGGAAGAAGCAAAAAAAACCTAACATACCGACTGACGTCACTGATAAATCAAAGACATACACAAACCCAAATGCAAAATCTGAAGCATTTAATTCTTTTTTTGTTAACGTTGGAAAAAAATTAGCTGATAATCTAGAACAAGATAATCAGACAAATAGGCCTAATCCAACGTCATATTTGACGGGTAACTATCTTAATTCAATGTTTTTTAGGCCTACAATCGAAGAAGAAATAATTATATATATTAAACTTGGGACAAATAAAGCACAAGGGCACGATGACATAAGCGCTAATTACATTAAACATAATTATATTTACTTTACTAAGCCTATTACACACATGATAAACGTTTCACTTACAACCGGTTGTTTCCCTGATGAGTTAAAAATTGCGAAAACTATACCCGTATTCAAAAGTGGCGATAAACATAACATTGATAATTATCGACCCATATCAATCTTACCCTGTCTTTCAAAAATATTCGAAAGAGTGGTCTATGATCAGACTATTTCCTTTCTTAACAAATATCACATAATAAACAGTTCTCAATATGGTTTTCGGCAACAACATTCTACAATTCACGCCCTATTACAAACCATAGAAAAAATAACGTCAGCTATTGAAAACAAATCATTTATTATAGGTGTATTTTTAGACTTATCAAAAGCATTCGATACGATTGATCACAAATTACTTATTCAGAAACATGCCTAAGTGCCATCTTAAGGGTAGCCACTTGATAGATTAGGTTTAATTGTTGGCTTTTCTGTAATTCTCTTTTGGCTGTCAAATTACATTGATTATTCGTTTTTGTATGTGTAGATGTGTATAAGAGACAGACCATATTGATGCCATCGCAAATAAAGTCTCAAAGGTAATAGGAATCTTGAATAAATTGAAATATTTTTTACCCTATTCAATAATGTTACAAATATATAAATCCATAATTCTCCCCTACTTAGCATACGCAATAGTCGTATGGGGCCCTTTCAATCCAACAAAATTAAACAGGCTTCACATTCTCCAAAAGAAAGCACTTCGAATTATATGCAAAGTTCATTTTCATCATCCTTCAAAACCACTATTTTTACAAACTAATACATTAAATATATTTGATCTCTATGAAAAGCATATGGCAATATTACTCTTTCAATTTCATAATAAACAGCTTCCTATTACCTTTAATACATTTTTTCGCACAATTGAAGATACACATAACTATGGAACCAGAAATAGAAAAAACTTTACCACTGTATTAATGAAAACAAAAATGGGACAAAACAGTATCAGCTATAGAGGCGCCAAAATATGGAATGGCTTAGAACACAATATAAAAAATCTACAAAGTATTAGTTTATTTAAATGAAAAATACATAACAGACTACTTAACAAATATAGATAAAACTGGTAATCTTTACTGTACTTGGTCGAAATTTTACTTTTCTTTCCTTTGTATTTGTCATATTATTATTACACTTTTTTTTTAAGAATCTTGATTTATAAATGAATCGTCTTCTATTATTATCTTTTTATTTTTATTTTGTAGTTATTATTGTTTTTTCTTTGTATGGCATCAAAACCTAAAGCTTGCTTGTAATTGATGCCTTTTCAATCAATCTTTGAATTGGTAATTGTAAAAAAAATATATATATGATAAAGGAAATTGATTGAATAAAAATTTATTGTGAATAAAAAAAAAATAACGACCACAGATGGTTCGGATAAGTGAATACTTATCTAACAGGGCCGGCGGAACGTTGGGAGGGGGGGGGGGGGGGGGCGGGGCACTTGTGAGATGAATGGGAATATGAATTGTGATCATACAAAAATTTGCATAGACATTATATATTTTCTGCCAAAAAGTAGACCCTCCAATGTTCCGCCGGCAACGGTCTAAGGGTTTATATCTGGCGTCCCTCAAGGCTGTGTCCATTCTCCTATTCTTTTCTCTGTTCACCTGAGACAACTATAGTATAGTTGTCTCAGATTTACACAAATGATTTCAGAATCGAAAGTAGCAATGTTTGTTTAGTTAAGTATGCCTATGACTCAGAGATTATTACAGGTTTGATTCATGATAATTGTGAAGAGGAGTACGAATATACAATTAGGTCGTTTGCTTCATTGTGTAAAGAACAGTTCCCTATTCTAAATCCTGACAAAAAAAAAGAAATTACTTTTGATTTTAGGAAGAAAAGTGTAATTGGTAATATTATAATAAATGACAAAGCAATAGTAACTGTTAAAGAACATACAGTAAATATGTAGGGTCGACGATAGATAGTGAATTGAACTGGAATGCTAACATTGTAAATATTGTTAATAAGTCAAACCAACGTCTTCGTAAACTGAATTCCTTCAAAGTAAATAGTGATGTGCTTTTCCATTTTTATCAGAGTGTTATTTTAAGTGTTTTATCATTTATTTGTGTAGCCTGTTACAATAGTCTTAGTGTAAATAAGAAGGAACCTAATAAAATAATGAAAACTGCAGGTAAAAAAATAGGCAGAAATGTTAATGTTTTTGACGAGTATATAAACGTGATGTCATTAGCCAAGACAACTAGAAATTGCAAATTGCAAGTGAAGTGCTGCGAAGTACAACTGCATAAAATGTTCTTCGAACAAAATTATTTATGCGAGTCAAGTGAAAA